AAACTTATTTAGAATTTATGCACGATAAAACAATCAACTTATGTATATATTAATTCTGGTAGGTGGAAAATTGTGTTATATTAAATAAAATTATCTTGTCTCTCTAAGATACTCTTATTTAGAAAAAGATCCAAGTATCTTATATCTCAAATGTTAATGATACTTTTAATGAAATTATTGTATCTAAATCAAAGATACACTATTTTTTAAAGAATCTATATCTAGATTTGTTTTTTAAGGACAGAATATAATAGCAATTTATGATTGGATTATAAAATGTGTTACAATATGAACATTATTTAAAAATTAATCTTTCTGTGGTATTGTAGCTGGAGAAAGTAATTTAAATATAATATAAAACATATATTTTCTAAATTACACAATAGTTATTTATTTTATAAAGAATCGATTTTAGAAATAAATTTTAATAAATATCAAAGAATTAAACAAAAACCCTAGTTTATTGTTAGATATAAATATTGGAAATGTTTATATAAAAGATAATTGTTTCTAGAATTTAATTACTATCATTAATATATTTTGATAAAATTAACTGCATGACACAAGCTAGCCAATTTATTTTCCATTTATTGAAAAGATGGGAGCAACTTTTATTTTGCAATATAAGAGCAAATTTTCCTCATTTATTATGGAATATTTATAAAAGATATTGCCAAAATTATATAATTTTACTAATTAAAAGTTCATCAACTACCCCCAAGTAAATTTTAAATAAATTTGATAATTATAACTAGAATTTGTTACAAATCCCATCGAGGCGATTAGAGATCTCGAATCCTTACATCGTATTTGGAATCATTTTATTTTTTTCTAAATATTTTTCTAAAATACCAAATATTTATTATGACATTATGTTTATACCTAGTTCTTACTCAATCAAATTAGTTTAAAAATATTTTTAATTCAATTCATTTGTACAAATATGCCAAACTAATTTTATAAGTAATTTAAAGTTATATTGTTTTATATAAAAATTTCAAAAAAATGTTATTTTCAAACATTTTTTATTTAAAAAAAAGTCGAGCCTCATTTTTATCCCTATTATTTAAATTGTTCATGAGGATTGAGAATATTTATTTTTTTAAATATAAAATATTTTTTTTATTATTCTTATTACCTAGTCTTAGCTCAAAAAATTAGCCAAGATTTTTTTCATCCTTTGTTCAAATTTGCCAAACTAATTTGGCATATTTTTTAGGTCTGATTAAAGAGTATTTACTATCAAAAAAAAATGAAATTTTAACTTAAATCGATATAACATTTTATCCTACTTATTGTTTTAATTTAAAGTTTTATGTTAATATTAATTAGTTGACAAAATGAGGAAAAATAATTAAATAAGTTTAGGTGAATTGTGGTTTATTTAAAGGATCTTTGAATTTATCGTAAGATTTAGTGTTGTTATGGCTCGAAAGCAGATTTTTCAAGCGGCTAACTTAAGATTTTTACCAGAAATAAATTGCCTAAGCCTTGAGATCTCGCTAATAGATGTCCAAACCTTTGAGTCATCTAAAAGCAAAATTCCTCAGGCTCGCGTTATATATGTATAATAAAATATTGACCCTTTTAAAAATCGGTTCAAATCGAGCCGTTTAACAACACTAATAAGACTCTTGAGACATTTTTGCGTAGTTTAATTAATCGGGATGTCTAAAAATGGAAACATCTAACTATTATGACTATTTAAAAAATATTCCTTATAAAATTTCAATTCATCTTGAGATACTTTTTGAAAATATTACAGCAACAGAAAAAATATGAACATTCGGAGTGCTGGAAGCTGGATGGGAAAGCATTTTCCTAGCAAATACTGCTGAATTTTATAATTTTAACTCTTTGCAATTCCAAATAATTAGACATATAATTAAAATTGGATAAAAAATTCGTAAATATTTTGGTATAGTTAGAACAAGATATATAGGCATTATAGGTCAGAATAAATATTTTATATATTTAATGAAAACTCGAGATCTCGTATCCCCACTTTCTGATCCATAATTTCATGAGATTCCTTATCCAAAATTATACAAGATATATATAATATTTCTGTTTTTCCTACCCGATAAATAATTATGTATATAATAAATCTTTTTAAATTGTTTAAATAAAATAGATTATTTTCAATAAAATCATTAATTTTTATATTAAAAAGTGCCAGAAGTTGCTCTAAGTAAATAATAAATATTTATAAGAAAATGCATATAAATATTAACATACAAAAAATAAATAAAACGAAAAACTAGATGAAAATAATAAAATATAAAAATAAAAAATTCCTTTTTAATTATTTCAATATAAATCTCACCTATTATTTTTAAATTGATATAATTTATTAAAGCACAACAAGGTATATAATACATTAAAGGGCATTTTATAATGAGTTTCTTATTTATTTTCGATTCTTGTTTTAATTATAAAATTTTTACCTTACAACAATTACAATTTCAAAAATAATTTTTAATCTCTTAGACAAGGGGTATTGAACAAATTTTGAGAGAGATAATAGTAAAGAGAACGATTGGTTACATATATATCAGAAATTTAAAAAATGGGAAAAAAGATTAAAGGAATAGAAGGAACATGAGCATTAAAAAAGGAGTGGAGGGGGAGGCGGCGAAATATTAAGAAAAACATAATTGATTTCATAGAAAGAAGTAATAATTATATTTAAAAATTTCTAATTTAATTTGTTTTCTTAAAATATTTTATCAGAAACAAATCTTTATGCAATTGAAGAAAATGTTGAAACTTTGACTAATCAAGGTTATTTTACTTATTTTACAAGTTTTTAAGATCTATTTTCATAAAAAATATTTATTTCTTGTAAATGATATAAAACAATTATACTTAAAATCTTAAATATTTTTGGAATATTTTATTCATTTTTTGACTTCTATAAAATTATGTTTAATCTAAAAGATCGTTCGAATTATAATCGTTCAAATTTCAGCGTTTATACATTAGCTAACTATATATTATTCGTTATTAATTTTTTTAAATTTAGGAGATGCTGTTGAAATTATTCCTCTTGAAGTAGCAGAAGGTTTTTAGAAATATACATATAATGTTATGCATATTTGTGTAAAATTGTCTTAAACTTTCCAACCATAGGAACCAAAATAAATTGAATATTTTTCCCGTAATTATAAATGAATCGTTAAAAAATCTCAAAAAGAGATAATCAAAGCGATATAAATATCTTCGAACTTTTAAACAAGTGTTCGTGATATATCTTTAGTTTATTTTTCAACAATTACATAATTTGAAATATTTTAATTTAGGCTTCGTTCAAAACTTTAAAAAAATTTTGACAAAATTTGAGAAATTCCATAAATTTAAAAGATTGAAGCAACTAATAAAAAAAAATATTTAAGTATATTTCTTCGTCTTAGCCGTCAGCGTAGCTTCCCTCAAACAGCCTTTAAAAAAAGAGGATATTTAGATTTACATATATAACATATTTTTGTGACTCTTTCTAAAATCTTATTTAATATGCATGTTTTAGATTAAAATCTGTTTAGTCTGGGTTGAACAGAAATAAGTTACATGAATAAGCAAACCAGGCGTGGATTCTTTTCAATTTTCAATTATATTTTTATAAATTTGAATTAATATATCAATCATCTTCTAAGAACGTTATTAATAGCTAATGGTTTAATCAATTTCACTAATTTTATAGAAAACATATTAAAATAAAATAGATTAATGATAGATACTACCTTAAGGTAGTACCTATTTCGTATTTTGTTTATTTTTTCATTTAGATACACACTATCAAATTTATTTATAATATATATTTGAAAATCTTATTTATGGAAAGCATCTGTGGCCTACTCGGCAAGATCACTTACCAATCCGATAATTCTGGGTTCGAATCCCAGTAAAAATCATGTATTTCTCTTAATCCAACTGGTGGTGCCATCCTTGAGGAAATGATATATATAAGTCCGGTCTCGACCACGTGATTCCGTTATAATATGTTAAATGAGTGTCTCATTATATTAACAAATTTTGGTCGGTATTTAGCAAATTCGGTTGGTATTTAGAAAATTGTTATACTTGACTTGGCAGTATCTATCATTAACCAATAAATTGATATTTGTATAAAAGTGTCATAAACACAAGCAAACATATCTTCTAATTTTATATTAACATAATTGGTTAAAAAGGGCAGTTGACTAGGCTAATTATAACGTTGACTAATTAAATATCAATGAATGATGCATTAGGTCATAAATCCCCCTGGTAACTTTTTTAAATCTAAAACAAACATTCTATAATTTTCCTTGTATAAAAAGTTAAAAAAACTAAATACTTCTCGCTTATACTTTCTGATTGCACTACTATATTTGGGAAGGAATGTATAAAAATAATTATCAACAAAATTAAATAAAGCATACATTTTAGTTATATTTTATATCGCTAATTTTTACATTTGAATTTAAAATATTAATTTTATAAATACAAAAATTAGATATGTAAAAATAAAAAACAAAATAAACGTTTATAGTAGTGCAAAAAGTGACTAATAGTTTGCTGTTTTCTTGAAAAAATGATAATAGTGATAGCGTGCTTTTATCTTTAGAAGTAGCATTGGCGAATAACGCGTTTATTTCAAAGCGCTTAACAACAATGCTATTAAGTGAGTCACATATTAAATAGAATAAATAAACATTTTTAATAAAAAATTTTCATTGCTATAAATTTTATATAACTTTATCTAATCCAACTAAATTTACAAAAACGATTTTTTAAGAAAAATATATTTAAACATGAATAAATATGAATTAATATGAAATATTTAATGTTTACTATAATATCTACTTCGAAATATTTAAAATATTTTATAAGGAAATTTAAATTTTTTTTATAGTATGTAAACTATTGTTTACAGAGTGCAAAGAATAAATAAATTAAATGTTATTTGAAAATTTTTAAAAATAAAGTTTTTTAAATTATATATATATTAATCTAATAACAAGTGGTAGAAGAAGCTGCACCAGGTAAGGAAATTTTTTTATCAAATTATATTTATAGATATGGAATTTATATCGATTCGGAATTCTCAATTTTGAATCACTAATTTAAGGGCGATTTTTATATTTCTAATTTGACCGTAAATGCACCAACGTGAGTAAGAGTGTATATAAATTGCAAATTTCAAATAATTTTTCCCTGAATTACTGCTAATTTATATTAATTATACTGTAAATTTTTTATATAAATATTATTTTAACAAAATTTCATAATTTTTATAAAATAAACATCAAAAAACTATTATTAATAAATTATAATTAAAAACTGAACAGATAGTAAAAAGGCTAGTTATTAAATGCTGATGTGAGGACAGCTTGGAAAAAGGAGAGTAAGCGGATTGCTTTAACAATATTAGAGGCCGAGCTATTAGTTAAATAAATATATAATATGTCATGCCAGGAATTGTAAAAATATCTCTATATCGACGGTAAACATTTAGTTCTATTATTTAAAAATCACAAATAAAATATAATTAAGTTATAGCAATGGCGCCAAAAAATTTATTGTCAATTATTAACTGTAAAGATGAACACATTTGCAGCATAATTTGTGAATCTTTGTTAAGATTCTTCAGATTGCAACTACACATTGACAGCATGTAGTAGATTTTCTACATGGGAAATTATTCCTAAATAACTCTGCCAATCATTATTGAAAAAAATTTTCAAAATTTCCTAAGAAATATTTTTTTAACGGTTTATAGAATTTAAAAATTCTATGATATCTAATCTGTTATATTTACCATTATATGGTTAGCTATGTCTTTGGATTTTTCACTATTTGAGGGGAAAAAATTTAATAGTTTAATTAAAACGACTTTAATTTTGTTGAAATAGCGGAGAATATTTCCCTTATTAGATGCAGCTGTTAGAATTTCATATGTATGCCCATCTTACAAATCGTCAAAAATTGACCTCCTGTTTAGGTCCTAAAACATTTATGATAGCCCTCCTCATTTTTGTTCTACAAGTATAGTTTTCATTTATATTAGAGTTGTTAAATATTATGGAAAAAGATTCTACCGACATTGTGGATGATAAATATCTATGTGAAGGTTGTACTATAAGATACGGTGTTGTGATAATTTAATGAAACATATTGACGATTAAATTAAAACCCATCCATATAAAATTATAATCTTTGCAAAAATAATTAAAATATAGACAAAGAATTATTGAAATTTCTTTTATTTATTCCTTGTTATTTTAATTATTTTTTATGGATGGGTTTTAATTTAATCGTCAATTTCATTAAATCATCACAATACTGTAAGTGATTACAATTGCCGCAGCTGTAGTTGCATTTGTATATTATGTATTTAAACGTGATAAGTGATAATTAAGCGCCTATCCCTATTATGTTATACACACACGGTAGATTTCCAATTGCAGTTGTTTTGCGGGACATTCGCAAATAATATATTTTTAACTGTAAAATTAAAATCGTTTTTTTTTATAAAATTTTATCTTGTTTACATTCTTTTATATTTAAAAAAGATCGTTGGTTTTTTTATAAATTTATATACTTTAATAAATCAAGATGTTATTTTATTTTGAAAAATATTTACCGACTTTGTATTTATATATACTAATTATAAAAATAATACGCGGATAGGCCATCATTTTTTTTAGCAATTTTTATATTTCTACCGCAATTTTTATATTTCTACCACAATTTTTATATTTCTCTCGCATAATACCAAATTTATCCCGCAATTTGAAAATTCTGCTCCTATTCTGTGATATATTATGTAGATTTTTTTGCAAAAATATAAAAATTCCATTCTTGAAAAGGAAGCCAGTTATTGTGAATATATAATGTGGATAACCAAAATGCACAAATTTTATTTAGATATTTGCTAACTTAATTAGCCTTGTTAGTCGAAATCAGCTCATTTTGGCCCATTTAAAGAAACTGCCTGTGAAGATAAGGAGTAACCATAATTTTCCATTTATGGGTCCCGCTAAATTGATATGTACTCTGGCTAAAGTTTGGCTTGAATAATTCTATTACCTTTTCGTTAGTTGTATCCATAATTTTGTATTTTGTTGGCAGGGGTACAATTACGACTCTATTCTAAAATATAATTGTTTTTATTGGGCTCTAAAATATTTATAATAGATTGTTGCATTCGAATGATTCCGGGTTGTTTTTCTTGCAGTACGTTTAATTCTTTGATTAATGAAAAGATATATCCATTATTCATTGATAATTGTTCTATATGGGTGTGTATGTATTATCCATTGTGATAAATTATGCAGAGATTCGCTGTATGGTATATCATACTTCCGTCGAGGGTAATCGTGACAAGCAGTCAACATTCCTGTGTTTATGGGTGTTTTTAAAGATTACGGAATATTTAAATTTATTTAGGAATAATGCCCACTATCAGTATCGGTGATAACAGAGCTATTTTTACGTTTTAATAACTACCAAGGTGAGGTAATATTAAACCTATTATGGTAGAAATTTATTGATGATTAGATGATTTATAGTATATTTTTATATTCATTCTTATAAGTTACGGAAGGTGTCAGGAAAAATTCTTTATTAGTGCTCTCAATTGTAGATGAGCCTTTAAGTTATTCAATATTTACTTTTTGATCCAAAAACGCTCATCTATTTTATTGTTCTTGTCAAATATTATATTAGTGGTTCAAGGTTTAGTACTATAATAGTCCTAATTTTTACCGGCTCGTGATATAAGGAAAAAGAAAAATATTATTTTTTTAGATTTCATATATCATTTAATCAATAATTTTGGTAGAAGATGTAATTTATTAATTTTATATATCTGCTTATTAAACAGTGGCGGGAGAAATGGCTCCAGGTAGGAATGCTTATAAAATAAATTTTATTTACTTTACCTATAAAATACATTTTTATAAAAAAAAAATGATTATTATAATATATAAATTTATAAAAAGAACGAATTTTCAATAGAATTAGATAAGTGTTTCTTTTTTTAACAAGTGGTGGCTGAAGGAACAGTTGCAGGTATATAATATATTTTATAAAAAATAGTCTCATAAAAAAATACCAGCTATTTTTTATCATGATATTCATTACTAAGGAAAAAATTACAATTAATCTAAATAAAATAGTTGCATTCCAATTTAAATATATTGAATAGAGATACCTAATTCTAATTTTAATATTTCAGATTAAGGTTTTTTATAATATATATATATCCAATATTGTTTCTTTCAATTTTTTATTATTCATAAATTATTGATATAAATATATGACTATCATTTGGGAATAGCTAATTAAAAAAAAAATTTAAGATAAACGCATCTTGAGAGTTTTCTATTCATATAACTGATATCCCAAGACAAAGGGAACATAACGCGCTCTAATGCAATACTTTTTTTAATCAATAATAAATTAATGTAGTTTTTGGTAGCATACTATTTTTTTTAACTAAAACATTTTATATCTATCTTATTTAATATTTTAATAACTACTGAAGAGATGGCTTGGTGAATAAATTTAGCAAATATCTTACTCTAATTGTTTTTGTTTCTAGTCAGTCTATTTCAAACCCACATTCATTTCCCATAACTCAAAAAATGACTTTCCTTTGATTATGCTATCTTGTTATGGAAGTCGATGCCTCATAGCTTGAAATCAATAGACAGAAGTATTTTGATAAGCAGCTGTAGCTCGCGGTTTTGAATATCTATTATCTAGCAAACTAATAATCGTTCTCTCTTCACTTGCTCTCTGGTTTCAGAACTTCTATCGACAACAACGGAAAGCACAATTTACACTGTAGATCATGTAAAGGCTAAACTAAATCCTCAAGCAAAACCAATGTAATTTTCTTATCCTACGAATTTTAAAATCATCCGAATACCTGCAATACTTGAACCACTATAACTTTTAAATCAAATGGAAAGAGAGTTTATGAAATCACTCTGATCCTATGGAAAAACCAATTTTTTGTTTGGAAATATTCTGGTATAAATTTATTAGCTCCATCCAACTAAACTTCAAACATTCCAGAGCAAAAAGAAAGTCTGAAATTTCAGAAGATCATATCTTTAATACAATAATAGCTACATCCCTATCTTCCTTTATTGAGACTGCATTATCTTTCTCCAAAGATTTAAGATCTTACTTCTGCGAGCTTACTGGCGATCTTCAAGAAGGTCTTCCTAAGACAGGAACTGGTCATAGCGATCCTTGAAGCACATTATATAAACTTCAAGGGCAGTCTTCCCTCCAAAGTTCTCAGCTAGACTAGTCTTCCATAGGTTTTACTTCTCTATTTTTTAATTATTTTTTTTATAATAAAATATTTATTTTTTTGATATAAATATTGTATATTCTAAATATTTATTAACAAATGAGCTTTGAAGTTTTATAGGGTAACAAGCGTATTCCCAAATAATTTTGAAAACTCTTTAATTCAATTAGGCTCACCTATTTCATGGTTCTTGTCAATATACATTGTATTAGTAGTTCTGGATTTTGTACTATAATTTTTAACTGCTGGAAAAGGAAAAATATATTTTTTAATTTCATATAACATTTTATCAATAATATTGGCAGAAGTTGTTATATCTAGGAAATAAGATATTTTACTATAACTTATTAATACATTTTCTTAAAAATATAGAAGAATGATATAAATAGAAGAAATAAACATAGAATAAATAGATTTTTATTAGGAGTTAGATATCGTTAATTTAGAGAAGATCTATTTTTTTTAATTTTATATATCTTTTTACTAAACAGTGGCAGGAGAAATGGCCCCAGGTAGGAATACTTATAAAATAAATTTTACTTACATTATTGATAAAATTTTTATAAAAAGTTGATGATTATAATTTCAAAATTTTACAAAAAGAACTAATTCAATAGAACTAGATAATTGTTTTATTTTACATTATGCACATATATTTTTGTTAACAAGTAGCGGCTGAAGGAATTGGTGCAGGTATATATAATTTATTTTATAAAAAAGTAGTCTCATAAAAAAAATACTCGCCTTTGTAAAATATATCATATTCATAATTACAATTAATCCAAATAAAATAACTAGCATTTTAAATACTTGAATATAGATATCCAATTTTAATGTATCAGCCTATTAGCTTTTTTATGATATATATCTAACAATATTATTATTTATTTCTTTCAATCTTTCATTTATTTATAAATTATATATATAAATATAGGACTATCAGTTGGGAATAGCTAATTTTAAATTTTTCTTTAGGACAAACGCGTCTTGAGGGTTTTTTATTTATGAAACTGATATCCCAAGACATAGGGAACATACATAACGCGCTAATAATAAACTAATGTAGTTTTTGATATCATATTATTTTTTTTAACTAAAACATTTTATATCTATCTTATTTAATATTTTACTAACTATTAAAAAGAAAGAAGACAAATTAATAAATTTAATATTAAATAAGAAAAATAACTAGTTCCAATTTATTAAATAAATATATAAAAAATTGCAGTATATTTACTACATATTTTTCTATTTATTATAAAATATGTACCGCAAAGTAGCAAAAATCAATTTTATTATCAAATTTTTAATTTTATTTTAAATTTTTTATATTTATATTGAGGGAACTAGAATGATAGTTAAATTATATTTAAATTTGAATCTTTTTAGAGTATATATTATTCTTTTCCATTTCGCGCTAATCTAACCAACTGAAATATCAAATGTGGTGAGTCATTGTTTATTATACTAGATAATATATATCAAGTATAGTTCAATTCTAAGAACTCTTTTATCCTATATCTATGCAAAATCAAAGCAAAGTTTTCTAGTACGATACTATAAATGATAACTGCTTTTTTAGATATAAATACAATGGCCGATGATCTGTAATTCTAAAAATATAATTTTAGAAACTTTCATAATTTTTGATGCCTAATTGAATCAATAGACAATAGTTTGGAATCATTTCCATCCATAGTAATGAATGTAATAGCAAATATATTTGTTAAATATCTAACTAAACTGTTGTGAATATGGATTTTCATAAATATTGCCTCACATACATCAATCGTTCTCATTTTCGACTAATAAAAATAATTCAATAAATTTTTATGGTCAGCATACTATTTGTAATTTCGAATATTCCCATATTAAATAATAGGCATATTTATAATAACAACTCTCAATTTCTTAACTTTACCGCCCAGGACGCACTTAATAATTATATATAGTATGTGCTTCGTTTATTATAATGATATGTACAATCTTTCTTAAGAAATTTTAATGAGTCATAGGGAAGACCAAGGCTAGGAGGATAAATTTTTGTCAAAATTATCATAACCCCGAAAATAATGATTGTTTACCAATTGATTACTTAAACATTTACCTATAAATATGGACTGTTATATTTTTTTAATATTTAATATTTAATAATTTTTTCTCCAAAAAAGATTTAGTAAATAGTTTTTAAATAGATGCTCCAAACTTGTGTTAATCGGATCATCAATGGGGCTCGTAGAATTAATCGTTTATTTTTATATTTATCATCTAATACTTTTAAATATACTCTTTATTTTTCAATTTCCATAAAAAAAATATTCACAGTAAAATTTTTGTTTTTCACAATATATATATAAAAATCAATTAATTCCATCTCCATTTTATAAAATCACCGACTGTATAAAATTATTAACATCAAATTAAAATAATTTCTTTTCATTTCAATAAAACATGAACATTAAAATTTATCTCGTATAATATATTTATCAAAAGTCAAAAGTAAAAAAATAAACAAAAAAATACCAAGTGTTTTAATATCAATTCTCGATAAAATAACTAATAAATAAAATATATTCTTTTTGATTGACATTTTATAATATATATGTACAAATATATATCATAATAATACAAAACTACAGTTAATAGGCTATATTATTTATATAATATTATTCACAATTATAACATCAATTAGCAATCTTTTTTGCATAAGACTCATGTCCCCAAACTATACATATTCTGTATTAAAACCAATCTTCAAAAATATGAAAATTTTATAGCTATTTACATATAATATAAACATTAAATTAATTTTTCAACAATGTGTTTCTTTGATTTAATTTCCGCTGTTTAATAGAATCTACTTCTTGAATGGGGATGAGATATAGCTATAATTTTTTTAATATCTTTTTAACAGATAAATTATAAAAGTTTTACTTCATGAAATTAGATTTTATTTTCCTCCTCATCATCAAATATTTTATTATCTTGACCTATCATGGCATTGGGGGAGGGCAAATTCCCCCCCAAAGCCAAAAATGCAGATTCCGGATATATTTTTCAAAAATATTATTGTTTATATTAATTTATATTTGTTAATATTTATTCGTATCTCATATTAAATATATATTATATTACATTTATTATCACATTCATTAGTTATTTTATCAATTAATTTCGATTTCAAGTTTTCCGGCGTAATATTTACTTATTATTTTCAAATTTTTAGTGGCGTAATATTTATCTACCATTTTCAAATTTCTAGTCAAATAATAATTATTTCTGAAACTTCTGGTCCAACAGGGAAAAAGAAATTGCAACCTTGTTTAACGAGATAGAGCCTCTTCCATCAAGCACTAACAGCTATTAAGGAGTTAGAAGAGCCAATTATTTGCTATTACTGAAATATTACAATGGCCTGAAAGAAATATTTCCTCAGAAGCAAGAAAATTATTGGATTCAATGCTTATTCCAAATTTTATTTCTCATTAGAATGTATTATTTAATTATACAACTATTTTAAGTATTACTTTTCAAAAACATGACAATGATTTGATTAAGAAGATGAGAATAGCGGAGAGCATTTTATCAGAACTCAAGGAAATTAGGGCTAATGTTGATGAAGAATTTCATATTTTATATTTTATTGTTGAGTCAAAAGCAGAGCTATACGTGTTTAATATTTGTCTCCCTCGACAGCAAGGCAAGCTCATCGTTAAAACATTAATATAGGATCAGTAGAAGAGTTTATCTTAGATGCAGATACATTTATAACCCAAATAAATGAATTTTTAATATATCATGCAGCACTTACATCTGCAAATATTACTTCCACAAAAGCCTTCCCAACCTTTTTCATATGGTGATAGAAAAAAAATATATTTGTTAGATTTTTATTATGAAGATGTTAAAGTATCTTATGATGCCTTACTAGCTGAATAACTATGTTTATAAGATTAACTATAGTTGATATAGTCCCAAAAAATTCTATGGATGCTCTGCATTATTTCAAACACATTTTAGATTTTCCCAATGTATTAAAAGGGTTTATAAACTCTTCCCAATAGTAAACTAATGAGAGAACACTCTCTTTTTTAAGAAGAATAACAGAGGCCTGCAGAAGTACCATTTGCAGGGCACGGCCCGGATTTTTTTTTAAGATTTTTTACGCTATTTTTAAAAAAATTTTTCTCGGCTTTTTTTTAAAATTTACCGGCTCGGCCCGGCTTTTTTTAAAATAAAATTTTCAGGCCCGGCCTGGATTTTTTAAAAATAAATTATATTTATTTTTGATTTTTATAGCTAATAATAACGATTTTAAATATAGGCTGTTTAAAAAAATACAGCCCGGCTTGGGTTTTTTTAAAAAAATTTAGGTCCGGCCAGGGTGTTTTTTAAAAAAAAATTTGGGCCCGGCCTTGGTATAATTAAAAAAATTAAAATATTGTCCGGCCCAGGAGCCGGGCCTGCAGGTCTCTGAAAAACATACCAAGAAGTACAACATGTGAAAGTAGATTGAAAGGTTTGGATTTTTTGAATATTCATAGGCATTTGACGACAAGAAAGGATGAGATAATTGAAAAATTAGCTCAATTCCAACGAAGATTGGATTTTACATTGTAAATATATAACATACAAAATACAATTATTCCTAAGAAACTTTTTGTGTAAAGGCTCAAAAAATTCAAATTTCGATTTTGGGTCATTTAAGTGATTCTTTACATATAATTTTTTTATAATTCACATTAATTTAAATAGGAATAGTTATTAGTCCTAATAGATTTATGCTTGATATTTTTAAAAAACAATAATATTTCTCAAAAAAATTTATTATCCCCCCCCAGACCAAATTCCTGCGTACGCGCCTGCATTGCTAGCCATTTTATATTTTTTATAATGTCTTAAAAGAATTATAATAGGTATACCAAATAAAATAAATCGTAAATTCACTCAAAAATCTAATTCTATATTAGATACAAAGACCTTTATAGAAAGGATTCCTTAAAACTACTTCCATATCTCTATTTATCTCAAATCGCCTATCGCTCAATTCTGCGATCTCATCATTCATAACTCCCAGTGATGATCTTCTAACAGCATCAATTGAAAGATGGAATCTACTTTCCAAAGACGGTTATATATTTCCAACCGAAATCTCTAATAAATCTATCATCGAACACCTAATAAAGAAATTACAAAATAGGCTTAACCCTACCGATATTAGCGATATACAACAATTACAATTTAACGATAAATACGGCGGACATGAATGGCTCGAAGCACTTATAAGCCAAACCTTAGATAATCTCTTAACCATTTACCAACTGAGAGTTACTATAAGATTTAGACTTGAATGTTCGCTTACACAGTCAAACACATGTCACCAATGCAGCATACCTGTTCTACCTAATGCCAGACACGGCCTAAATCGCAGCCGCAGCCAAGGTCGCCATCTCCGGCATAAAGCAATTAATAAAATCACCCATAACGCTTTTAATAAGGCTAAAATACCCAACATCTTTGAACTCTCAACCTCTCATTACAGGACGGCCTCAGACCCGACAGTTTAACCTGCACCCCCTGGTCCAATGGAAAATCTCTTATTTGGGACGCAACCTGCAGGTCCTCCTTTCCTTCATCAATTAATTCAAACCTCTTAGGTAAAATGAAAAAATTAATAAATATTCAAAATTAAA